AACTAATCTTCACAATGGCTTCTAGAAGCAATGCTTTCTATACCCTGCAAAAGATACTAAGATTGACATGAACTTGGCTCCTTAATTACATCAGAGTGGGATTTTCTACTTCTAATGCTTAAGTGCATGTCAATACCAAGACAGATTGCAATATGCATATTACTATGCCAAGAAATCACTTTAAAATTATTCAATGTAATCTGTTAATAATTGAGTAACTTCTGGTAAAGAATTATTAAAAACAACATGAATTCATCACTCTGAAAAAAGAATTAATAAAAAACAAAAGATATATAAAGTCCCAAGATCTAAGCAACCTCACACTGAGAAAGAATTGATCTTCTGTATTCTGAGATAACTATCTTAAAATGCTTGTTTTTTAAAGAATACTGGATTGCTTTCTAAATCATGTTCCTTTCCTCCTCAATGCTTATTTTGTTTTCCTTTTGAGAACCTCTGTTTCTAATCCACCCAGTTGTAGGGTTCTCCTTTCCTAGCAAAAATGGTATCCTAGTGTTTTATATACACATTAAAACTGATAGGTATCAGTGTTCCAGACAGGATTCACTAACTGAAGATATATTTGCTACAGAGTAGGAAAAAGCAGGAGGAGGAGAGTACAGAAATAAGAGAGTTGCTATGCCAACCTACAAATGCTAATGGCATGACAAATACAAAAAGGTCACAGTAAAAAAAAAAACAAACCAAAAAAAAACCCCCAAAACAGATCAAAAAGTATGTGTATTTTATGTAATAAACAATGCAGCTACTGTATTTAAATTCCTTCAAAACAGTGCAGTTTAAAAAGAAAAAAACTGCAGCACAGTAGCACACTGAAAATCAGGTTGTCTTTTTCCTTCTTTTGATTTAGCTCTTCAATGCCTTATTCTTTACTGTCCATATCGTAAAGTTGGTGTTTTAAGAAAAAGTTACATATGAACACTGAATGGGTTTGCCTGCAAGTAGATCACCTGATGATTAGGGCCAGTATTTCAGAGTAACAAACAACTATAATAAAGAAAATGAGTAAAAAGTGCATTAGGACTAGTTCTACATTAATTAGATCATGCAACAAAAGATATTTTTGTCTTTTTGAGGTAGATTTCTGTAACGAACTCAAACTCTTATCTTCTACCTAAAATGGTAAATACAAATTTTTAAGAAATCTTTTAGGAGGACTTTCAGGTGATTTTCAAATATTTGGGTCTGCTTGATTTAAACAAAAAATAATCATCCCAACTGTTCTGAATGTTCTTTCTATAGTCTTCTAAGGTTTGTTATGGCCGATACTAGTAAAGATTCGTATACTCTTAAATATAAGAGGAGATGCATGCAGTACAGCCTTTTACATCAAACTCCTGCAACAGAGACTGTTTATGACAGAATTCAAACCCACCCAAAATACAGAATGGGTTTTCTTTCTCACTTGGAATATGGTTCCAATCTGGTTGAAATACCAACCATTTTAAACTACTATTTTCTTTGTCTCTCAAGTACTCCAAAGGACAGTACTAACAGCATGCCAATGACTTTTCCTGAGTCAAACTCGTGTCTTCACCAGGACAAAGGCAACAGTACTGGGATGTAGACGCACCTGTGGACATCAGAGCATCCTCGGAAAGCCCATGGCAGAAGAGATGAGGGCTGGGCCACAGCATACACTGGAAGCTTCAAATATATACAGTGTCCTGACCTATTTATCATCAACTTTTCAAGTAAGCAACAGACAGAATACAGAAAACACAGAAATTTTACAGTATAACCTGAGTTTTCCAGCATAGAATTGCAGATCCAAGATAAAGTTTTACATAAGCTTTGGCTGAGCATTCAAAGAGAAATGAGTTGCTCAACCTTTTGAAGTTCACCCATTGCTAATTAAAGAACTGCCAAGGCTTTACTAACAATTAAAAACTTGTCTTTAAAATCCCCAAAGAGGAAAATGCAAACAGCTGTTTTAATTAGCAAAACAGCAGATACTAATTAGCTTCTGTAACAGAGTATGCTGGTCCTTTAAGGACAGGACCATTTTCAGCCCAAGTTTGTTACCCATTTAAACTGCAAGTAGAAGGACTGGAGTCAGATGCTGCAGAAAAAGCTTCTAATTCCTTGTGAAAGGAATATTCCCCAACTTCAAGTACACAAAGAAACAAGATTTTTTTTTTCAAGTGAGCTTTTATGCTTATTTGTCTTCTAGTTTCTGATTTTTCTGGAACTGAGACGTGTGCAGACATTTGAGCAGGGACCAAGGGTTATTTGAAATGTCTTGTCTTGTGGTGATCCCATGGGGGTGATAATTGTGATGCCTTCATGTTCTGGGCAAATGGTTACTGTGTCTGGACAGAGTAGTATGTGCATATCTGCACAGCAAACCTATCGAGTTCAGGTTGCACCAAGCCTGCTGTCAAAGCACTGGTCATTTGGGCAGCTGATGTAGAGCTGCTCCAACAGAGCACATCTTTCCATTCTCCCAACTGTTGGGGTGGTCTTGAAGAACTAAGAAAAACTCAGATGAAGGAGAAGGGAAGGGAGAGAACAGAAGAGGCTGGAATTACTGCTTTGCTGTGTTCAGAGCACAAATCCTTGGAATGAGCAGATGTACTCTTACAAGATAATCAGTATGCATAGTGGTGTTTCCAACAATCAGTTTTAAGGTTAAAAAAATATAAGCCACATCCCATAAGAGCTATGCTGCCTATAACTATGTCTACAGCTAGTCAGTTTGGTATTAGTGGGGTCAGTTCCCATGGACATGATATCGATAATAAACAGGATATTGCTGAAAGTAGAAGATATAACATAAATGTAGAAAGTGAAATGTAATGCAAGAGTTTAAAAGTAAATTTATTTGTACTATCTACACAGAGTGAAAGAATAACTGAGAATATAGGTATGAAATGATGACCCCACAAATAACTACAAAACTATTATATCAAATAATTTTGATAGCTATATATGTGTTTGAAACCACCAGGCAGTGGTCAATCTTTCTTCCAAAGACACTTGTCCTTCAGGAATTGTGTTCGGAAAAATCTAACTCATGTGCTGGTATTCCAACACTGTAGGACAGGACAGGTCAATAGCTGTAACTGGAGGACAACAATTGCTGCTCTTATACCATTCTGTGTGCTCTGCACGTTCTACATTCAATGAAGACAATTACCAAGGGCACGCAGCAAGTAAACAACACCCTTCAAAAATCAATTTGGGATTCTGATTAATGAATGGAATTTTAAATAAAACCAAAAACATTTATTTGCAAACATAAGGACTATGATAAAACACTTCTATAAAATACAGAGATACCTATCACTGTACCCCTGTACAATTAAGACTGTTAATCTTATTTCTCCAAAATCTCAAGCAATATCACAGGATTCAGCTAACCATGAATAAAGCTAACTACCCAGGAATCAGTATTTTTATTTGTGTTTATGCTTTTCATTACATATTTTAACATCTCAGCTCTACCTGCTAAATGGTTTCTGAATATTTTTTTGTCTTTGTACAGTATTTCAACATCTGTTTTTCAAAACCATATGAGAACATTGTATTCCCGTTCCCTTTGAGACAACTACTTTCAAGTGGTAAAGGAAACAAAAATAATCCACAAACACTGTGCTATATGAGGCTCTTTAGGGTAAAATACTGACTTTATAGAAGTTAAGTGAAGTTAAATAAGACCAGAATATAACCTCAACAGCATGCATGGTCTATTCTTGATGTTTATTGCTCTCTCTTCAAATTAATAGTCCTTTGTCTACTGATTAAACTATTAGAGAGAAATAGTATTTTTTTCAGCATGATGAGAGACTATGTCACAGCAGAACTATAGTTTCTATAATTTAACTTGTTCTGTATATTAAGGTATATAATGTGCATTCAGATTCAGGATTTGCTAACTATTTTCCTAGTGATAACATATACAAAGCTCAAATGTTTTCTCTGTTGCTGCGTTTTGTTTTTCCCAGCTTAAAATGCAAATGAGACATTTGGTTGAGACACTCCTGTTTTTCCAGTGAACAGAAGATGTGGCACTGTTCAGGCATTGTTCCTTTTGGGGCCCACCCTGCTCATGCAGAGGGTTCAAACGGGTTCAATGAAATAAAAAAGACATTTCTGGAGGGGGTTCTTCTCTGAAAATGCTTTTTAATGACATTTGAGTTGCTGAGGTGATCAGGCTTAATTGGCCTCAGGACAGACTAGGATCTTGTCCTTTACTAGAAGAACATTTTTGTTCTCATATCAGAGAAACAAGTCTATGAGTTTTTATTTCTAAATGAAACTATACTGATTAAAGCCATTCACGTTTTTATTCCCCAAGTAGAATACTACCTGTCAAAACTCCACAATAAAGTAAAGCTGCTTAAATGGAGTCATATTAAAACATCTTGTTATTAAGAACAAATTGATTATGACAAAATCCATCACCGCTGGGAAGCACCTAACAATTCCAAATCCACTTCAGTTCTTGGAGCTTGAACTTTAACTGCCAGAGAGGTTAAAATAAAGGAGGTACATCAAATTATATCCTTTTTAGATAGGTCAATATTTCAATTTGGGAAAAAAACCCAACAGATAAATATGATATAAAAGTGTTGCCTGAACACCCAATAAAATATTATAAATCATCAGTACAAGGTTATAGTAAGAGATTACTAAGTTACACTTCACTAAATAAATATGTGAATAAAGACCTAAAGCTGAGGTCCCTCCAAGTTCTATGTTTTATTCTAGGACTTCCAAGTTGCATGTGTGTAAGCTTTTCCAAACTCCAAGTCAAGATATTTTTACTTATTTTAAGTAAATGTGTACTGCTTGTACACATACCTCCAGTAACTACTGCGTCCATATGCCAGCATCATGCCTAACTCAATAGCTTCCACATGTTAAGTTTGCAACTACTGCAAACCTTTCCTGCTGTGCATTGGTTTGCATCCCTCCCAGAGAAAACATAACCTATGAAAAAAAACCCCAGTGTTAACAGAAGAAATCTTACTTACGAGTACTTAGTCAGCAGATCCAAATCATTATGCATGTTGATTGGATATGTCTCACTGAGATGAAATAGCTTCTCTAAGGCCTCATAAATGAAAATTATGCAGATAAGAGAAGCAAAAGCTTCTTCAGTAAACCGGGTAATGTAGCAGACTAGGGAGCTTGCATCAGTTGCAACAAGGATGATGCACAGGATTGCAGTCCACAGTCCAATGCTAGCTCTCAGAGAAAGGTACGACAGCCCATACTCTCTAAAAAAAAAGAAAACAAATTAAACACAGTTTATCTTTTGTCCAGCCACAGTAAATGGAGAAGAGGCAGCTCCAAAATTTCCTTTGCCTAGGGATGGGAGATTCTGGGGACAGTCTGAATCAGAAATTATTTACCTATTGTGAACTGAAGATACTGTCAAGTTACCTCTTGACCTAAGCTCTCCTCCCAATTAACAGGACACAAAGAGCTTGCTCTCTCTACTAGAGTGAGCAAGTGGCTTTGAGAGTAGTCACACACATGAAGTCTACAAGCACCACCCATTTTTTATCCCATATCCTGCCTTGTGAAGAGGCAACACCTACCAATTTCTTCTTAAGCTGCAAGAACAGCTAAACCAACAACTTTCATCAAAATCCTGTATGCTTATTGCATGTGATAATAGAGCTCCAAACACAATGGGTGACATTATCACAGAGAACTGAAAGGTCTACCTGAAGGTGATAAAAGAGCTTTTGGAGTGCTAAGCGAGATCTCCTACTCTATGTTGTTCAGGAGATCTTGGTGCAGAAGTCCCCATCACAGCAATAAGGCAGAAAAGCAGAAAGGATCAGAGAAGCATGATGGTTGCCAAGATGCAGACATAATTTTTACCCACACTGTGGCAGAGGTATGTCATGTACAGCACAATATAAATGCGGGAATATGCTGTTCTGGCATGATGCTTCACCCCTTCTCTGTTCAGGTGGAAGAAGGGCAGGGTCTATATTAGTGACTATTGAAAGATGGCACCACTGCCACTGCACTTGCTTCCTGGGTGAGAGGTAACACCTTCTGCATGAGTTAGGGATGAGATAAACCACAGATTTAAATGTATTGTGCCAGAGTAGAAAATGATACAATTAAAAAAATAAAACAACCAAACCACCATCCTGAAGCTTGCATTCCCTTCAAAACAGGTTGGGGTTTGTGTTTTTTTTAAAACAAACAAAAAAAACAACAATTGAAAAAAACAAACAAACAAACATCAACTTTTCTGCATTACCACCTATTCACTTGTCTCAGTCACTGCATAATTTTCAGACTCTGAAAGCTTAAGCAATGCACTCCAAAACAAACTGCTGATCTTACTCTGCAGATGTTGGAACTTTGGGATCACTGCCTCTACTTTTACCTAACAACACCTGAGGGACGATGCATATCATGATCTTCACTTACTTGCAAAATTTGAATAAGATCTTCTCAAATACTAAAACTGGTCCTGTGCTGCCAAGTATAGTGAGAGGCTGTCCACCAAAGAGAGAGTAGGCAATTCCAGTCATGGATGCTCCAAACAGCGATTCTATTGCACTCTGAATATGATACAAAGAGAAGTGTCCATAAATTTTCAAACAGGTTCTTTTTGCAATGTCTGTAGCCTTCTAAACATTGAAACACCAATATTTAAAGGTGATTCATGCAACAGTAAGAAAATACTAACCACAAACGTAGGAATTTAAGTTTGTTTTAAAAGTTCAGATTTAACACATACTATACGACCTTCAGTTGCTTCTCCAAGCAGACCACCAAATGTGATGACAGGAGACATGCAAGCACAGTAGAGAAACAAAAATGATGCCAGACACTGCAGACTGAGAGCATCCCTGAAGTCACTCCAGAAGAAGGGAGCTTTTCTTTTTATATCTAAAATCAATCCTCCAAAAAATCTAAAAAACATAGAACAGATCATATTAATGAAAAAGGCATACCAAACTTTCTTCCACAGTACTGCCTTAAATATACTGCAGAGAAGCTATCGTTCCTTGATCAAATGATACATACTCTTATAATCCACCCTTCCCAGCAAAAGTTTCTGGGAACCCTTTCTTGATAACTTTCATCAGGAAATTGTGCTTTTAAAACAAACAAATTTGCATATTTCTTTTATAAAATCTCCATCTAATCATCCAGACCCAAAACTTCTGAACAGTTGTTAGCTTCCACACATAAAACCCTATTATTTATTACATGAAGTGATTCTTTGCATTTGTTTAATCAGAGAGCTACCACAGTGCCCATTTGCCGACACATCTACATATAGAGCTTCACATTCTTTATTTGAGAACCTGTTCCTAAATACACTTGATGATAGAATTGAATATAGGCCACAATTTTCCAAGAACAAGAAATGTCACCTTTTGTCATTTACACTATGCTAACTACAATCAAGTATTTAGGAACAGACTCTCCCTTACAATATACCATACAGTTAAAGTAAATATCCCTGCAATGCTCTTTTTCTCACAGGCACCCAATATATCAGATGTTGCTGGGGTAAAGAGGAAGATGAAGTGCCACCATCTTCTAAATATTAGAACGATCGTTTGAGCTGTCAATCACCAGGTTCACCACTGAGGGAACGGCTTACAGCCAGACTGGCCATCATCTCCTCCGCCCCACTGTGTACACTAACACTGCACCTCAATCTTTAGCCTTATGCAGGTAGGAACGACATTTTAATATCAAGATGCAGCAAGGTAAAAGAAAAGCCTGTCACACAACTACACTGCACTAAGGCAACCCCTAACAGCTGATGCACTTAAGCATACCACATTAGACCAGAGAACATAAGAATTCCTTGGGGCAAATTTTTCCTTCCAATGTATGTATACTGCAGCCACCATCGTAATCATAGCCTCATGTACCGGGACATATCATGGCTTACTGAGGTAAAAAAGAAATGCTAGAGCTGCACAACCCTTACAAATTAGTTGTAAGCATTCATAATATATGGCATAAGACTATTCCCAACTTTCCCTTCATGCTGTATAAAAATAAGAAATGTTAAAGTTTAACAGAGGTCTGACCTTTATAAATAATAGAGAAAGGAGCTTGCAATAAATACAATGTGAAAACTCAAATCCTCTTGCCCTCTCCTCCTCTCTGCAAATTAGCATGTATGTGGTATGCAAATCAGAAAAATGCCTGAAAACATTCATATGCCAAGGCAGTCACTTGAGAGACAACCAGACCATCATGGTTCCTTTGGAAGTGCATCACTTAGAACACTTGAGATTTTGCACATGTTTTCACTAACTTTCCAGTGCGTTGCAGTTCTGGTCCAGAGTGTCCTCCAGGTTGTTCTGCATCCCCATGGGCTGCAGTTCCATTTGGCACTCCCGGGATCTTACGCTTCTCCTACCAGAAGGAAAAGATACTTCTCATGTGTCTTAGTAACTAAAACATAATTTTAGCGGAGGAAACAGGCTTTGAGAGTTGAAAGACTAAACATGTAAATTTTATTGTAAGATTCATCAACATAACCTCTTCATAAGCTGTAGAGGAGTTCTGTAACAGGAAATAGTAGAAGGAATTGTGATCTAAGAAATTTAAAGAATGTATCACAGAAAATCTTGTATCAGAAAACATTTTAAAGAGTAGCAAGCCAGGCTGCTTTGACCAATTCTTGCAATAAGCTTAGAACAAAAGCAAACCATGGCTGTTCAGAATAATCAAAGATGTTTATGACCAACTACCCCTGAATTTAAGATCTTTAGATGCAACTATCTATGTTTATTCAGGAGAGAACTAGTATTGAGCTACACAAAATGTCACCACTATACCGTATGCTTGCAAGACAAGGGTTGTCTTAAAGCAAATTAACAAAAAAAAAAAAAAAAAAAAGAGCATGCAAAATGTCTATATAGTGACTCTGCTAAATGCTAAATTAATGAGACTTAATTCTACCTAGCAAAAATTCATCACAACGTTTAAAAGTGTCTGAATCTTGCAGTGTACAAACCTGAGAGGGAACATTTTTAGGTGGTTCTATTCGAATCGTTGGGTCCCACTCTCCAGGAGGGAGAACAGTAACCTGATCAAGAAACTCATCAATTCCAGACACCAAGTCATTGCGGTCCTTTGCTTTGTAAGCAACATCATGGAACACCTGTGAAAAATGGAGAAGTGTACGTGGGAGGAAAAAGAGATGGAGAAAGGAATACTTTCATAACATTTTTTTACAATGGCCCCTTTTCTATGAAATAGAACACGCTTCCTGCAGTACCCACCAAACAAACAAACTCAGCTTCAAATGACTAGAGTTTCTGGTACATAGTTTTCAAAGAAGCTCAAGCTGCTATGGAAAAAAATGCTTATGGGTGCTAAATATTCCAGAGATTTTACAGTTTAAAACACAATTAATTCCACTGGAAAGTAACTGTGTAAAATGGAATCTTCTCTGTGAAGATATCCTTGCATGTGAATATTGTTTCTCATTTTGTTAACTCCTTATGGCAGCATAATCTGGGCTGTTACAGGATCATGAAATGAACTAGAATGCTATTTGTGCATCATCAGAATGATTAGCCACATTTAATCCGGATGATTCCACATTGGAGATTCTCTATTACACACCTCCTCAGTCAGTACAAAATGACTAAAACCAAGCCATGAATAAAAATACCTCATCTGTCATTAGTGTTGCAATTGACCTTCCAATCTCATGGTATTGTTGCCCTTTACCCAGTGGTCCAAGAAGAATAAACAAAAATCTACAAATAAAAGATAAATAAAAAAAAAAGTGAAAGATAGATGGTTGAAAGTAACTATACATACTACAGAAATACTTATTTAAAAATTGGACTAGAAGAACCTCCAAGACAAATATTATATATAATCTCTTTCAAGATCCTCACACATGCATTTAAACATGAAGCTCTGGGTAGAAAAAATGTGAAAATAACTTCCAAAAATATATCATAAGCTTCACAGTCAGACTTGACTGAGACTATCAAAACCTTGTTATATAACAAACCTTATCTTACATAATAAATATATGCAATTATAATCTACGTACAGAACACATTATTTAATTCTGTTAATTCAGCAAAATCAACTATTTTATGATAATAGTATTATTGCAATATTGGGGAAGTTAAATTACCCCGAATAAAAATCATTTTTAAATCATTCTTATTCCCATTAAGGCTCTAGACAGCCTCTATCTAGGCTTGGGGCTAGTAGGGTTCTATAAAATGCAGAGGACAGGTCCAAATGAAATAACTGAAGTTCTCGGTTTTGCTAAAACGCAAAAGACAATTTTTCAACTAACATTATTACCTTTTTTTTTTAATAAACATTTTTGCAGAAATTCTTAATTATCCTAATTTTTAATTATTTAATTTTCTTTTGGCCAAAAATCAAGAAATCTGTTGTTTTCCTTTTGGTGGGTTTTTTTTTGTGGAAAGTTGGGAAAAGTTACAAGGAAAGGCTTCAGAAGATTTTTTGAAAGCCAACTCAGTCCCTCAATATTCCTTATACACAGGCAAAAATTAGAGAAGACCACAAAAGTCATATCCAAAGTAACTACAACTTAAAGAAAATTTTGTACTGTTTATCTGACTGGGAGCAAAGATCTGAGTCTCAGCATTGCATTTCATAGCATAACACTCCTTCCTGAGTGTCACAAACAACTGGAATACACTACTGCCTTCTGTCGGAATTCTACTTTTACAGAAACTAAAAGAGGGAAGGTGAAAGAGAGACACAATAGGTGTACAAACATATGCACAAATACAAAAAAAGTGAGAGACTGCAATAATAGTTAAAGCAGTGAATTCAGATGTGGGAGAATCACTTCAGAGTTTTGATCTGAATCAACCCCCGCAGGAAACCATGTATCTGCGGATCTATTTAAATGCTTTCTATTTGACTACAAAGTCTATTTTAGATATTTTTTAAAAATTCCTCATAATTTGTTCTCAGAACCAAAGTACTTCATCAGAAAAAAGTTTCAACTTAGAAAAAAATTAATCTCATAAAAATGTATCATTAAAAGTCACATTCACTACCATGCAAGTATCTACAAAGTAACTTTTGGAGGAGCATGATATTTACAGCATGTTTTTCATCCATTCACTGTCCTTAGTGAATCAAATCACAGTTTGTTTCTTCCCTTTACTCAATTCCTTCTTCATTTTTTTCTTCTGCATATACTTATGCAGTATCACACAAGTAGCTTCAGCAGATGAAATATTCTAAGAAGCTGCATATTTCACCTTAGTATTTCATCTGCAGTATTACCAGTTTGTATAGGATAAACTGTGTATTGTAACCTAACAAGCTATCATTTCTACTTCTGCAAAGAATGATTATCTGCACACACAAACAGCATGTCTCTGAATATACCCATACATCATTTAAAGGATAAGTGGAAAGATGTCTCTAAAAGATATCTTTGTTAAAGAACGAACCAAATTCATAACTCAATAAATGACAAAGTTGAAGGTCACATCACCCTGTCTCCACAAGGTACTCAGAAAAACATGAAGAGAAATAAATCCAACTGTACCTTGTTGGAATCGGAACTTCAGCTAGTCCTGTAAGCAGCACTGCAGGAGATAACCTAACAAAAGCAACAACCGCACGGTCCAGGAACTCTAGTTCACCAACTAAGATGTTTGATGCTTCAGCTCCAGGTGGTATCTTTTTCATGAAGTGTAGGTCAACCTGGGAAAGTATATTAAATAACAACCTGAAAGTTATTCACAGGGATTTTTTTCCACCTGATTTGTTGACAAAAACTTTCTGGTCACTGCACTATAATCTTAGTTATTTCAATTACACGGCTTTTACTATTCTTGTCTGTTGAGTAACCTTTTTTAAAGAAAAATGTTTCTCAAAACCAAGTAACTGCTCTTTCATTATTTGACTAATTTTTCTTGGAAACATAGTTAAAGTACTGCAAAATTAATTTATGAGGACAACAAATCACATTCAAAATCTTGTTAAGAATATAGTATTAATTTCCTAGTAATACTTTTTATCAATAATCGTAACAGCATCAATAATTCGTAACAGAATCAGTGAGTCATAACAGTAGAAGAAACGAAGACACTTTATTTTTCCATAATTAACAATTCTGGTGATCATGAATCCATAGTTGCTGTATCCTAATTTCAATGAGAAGAACAGGTTCCACTACATGTAATTTTCCTTCTACTACACTAAGTGGGATGTATTTTTGGTTTTGGATTTAATGGAAGACAGTTGCCCATCTGCTGAAAATAACAGAAAATAAGCTATGACCGTGACCGTCTCAAGAGTAAACTGAAAGAACAAAGCAGAACAAAAACCTTAGAGTTTTAAGGCAGTGATGTTGACTTTTGCAGGGACAGTAGGAAAAAATGGAGAAACAGCTTCATCGTGACATTGCTATACAAGCTCCAGGTATTTGCCTAGGAATGTGTTAATTTGTATTTATTTCCTCAGTAGCAGTCTAGAGCTTACTCTGTAACAAAGATCGACATGGAGTAATAGAGTATATAATGTATGTTTGATTTCATTACGCACGAGTATTGTCTACATTTCAAAATGCATGAATTTTGTCATTTGCTTTCCTTTTATTAATCTAAACACAACAACAGCAACCAAATCCAATATAAACTGTTAAAGTGGACCATTTTAATGTCTATCTTACAGCCATCTGTCAGTACTAGTTTGCATAGTTTTTGGTAATATTTAGAAAATTGTTTTCTTGCAAATGGCTCTGGCACTAAATCAGAATTCAGATATAACACAGTTGCCTGTGTAATGAAATCTTATTTCGCTGAGATCACAAAAAGATGTCTAATGCTACCCTAAGCTAATCTAGAACAATGACCAAACACCTCACAAAGTTAAACAAGCATCAAATCAACCTGGAAGATTAGAGACCAAGTACTTTTTCACGGTAAAGTATCAGTGAGATAAATTCTATTCCCCATTCAAATCACAAAATAACTCGTCATGATTAAATACAAAACCCAAACAGATTCACTTCGCACCTAATTTTGGTGTCATAGGTCATTTATAGTTGAAAGAAAGGAAGTAGTCTTTCAGGCACATAGCAATGTGCGTTCTGTGCCGATTTTACCTTATGAATGGATTTAACATTTAATAACTAGTGTCTCACGTACGTGCTACAGTTGTCACCTTAATGTCCCACTAACATACCAATCACAGGATCAAGATTCAGATCTGAAAGAAACATTCAGTCTCCTGTCTACCAGAAAGTATTTCCAGATATGTTTCCTGTACTATTTATCAGCTTGAGATTCCAAAATCTTTTAGGTAGTGAACAGAGCCCCAGTTAAAAGAAAAATAGCTGGCAGAGAAGCATCAAATTGGGCAAATACACCCGAACCCTGGGTGTTGCTTCCACTACACAGTGAGAGCAGAGGTGGCCCTGGAGTGAATCTGGGGCAATGGCAGAAGCCACATCCTTCAAATGCTTCATCTAACCTATCCATCATACGTATCTTATCCCAATAGGTCTTTAGCTGGAGAGAGCTCACATGCATCTTAATCTGCACCCTAACCTGAGCCACATTCATGACCTGGCACTAAATAGTCCCAGTAAGGTCCGATTAAACATAAAACTAAATAACTAACATGGAGGTCATTCCCCTCCAGGGCAACTCAAGGACTGAAAAGAGTGGTGGAGACCTCCCCCAGAAGCAAATTGACATGAGGACAGACAGAAGATACCCAACATCACTTCTTGAGAAAGCCGTGACACACATTAATCAAATTTATTTATAAGCAGGGCCAACCAGTATTCAAAAACAAGTCAACTATTTCACATGGTATTTGAAAGACCAAACTCTGTCAGTATGGAACCAGGGTTTGATTCAGAAATACTGTTTCCACGTGGAGCATAGGAACGTTGCCATGAGAACGGATGCGGGTGTAGTCTCTTTATAAATTTCGTATTTCAGGACAACTAGGGTTCCCCCTTCAGCCTCTGGCATAAGAAGCAGAGACCGGGCAGCTGCAGTTGTTAAACTGCCATCCCCATCCTGCTCAGACATGGGATAAAGTGGTGCTGTGACAGATCATATCCATATCACCCCCCAAATACAAAGTCCTCACCATGTCCCCAGAGAAAGAGGAGTGACACATTTACAAGTACAAGCATCAGAAATTATGCCTCCCTCTCTGTGCTACTGAAGTAATATTCAAGACAGCTTTTAGTGCCATGTCTCACATTATTCATAAACAGATACCAATACAATCAACACAGTCTCAGTGCTGTACTCAGATTAAGTCAGCTTTTTGAATCAACTCCAAAATTTGGAATATTAGAATTAGCCCATGGGAGACAGATTAGCAAGAAGATAATATGTGAGGTAGTCAAAGGTGCTTTTTTGTAGAAGATAAATGAAATTAATATGTGGAACAAAATTGGAGCAAGAAATCACAATACTCAAGAGAAAATTAGTGCACTGCTCTACTTTCCTCTCAATCTGTGCCTATAATTCCAATTATAACCGTTGGGAGTTACTGCAATAGCACATTTCAAGGGGAAATTGTACTTTACTTATGCATCTTCAAAAGAATAAATGGATCTTTTTAAAGGCAGTCAAAAAAGGTATTTAGATTACAATCCTTTACTGTTATTTCATTCCTGCAAACAAAAGTTGTTCCCTTCATATTCCTGACAACCTTGTTGGTATCTAACACTGCCGAGCTAGCCAAAAGAAGACATGTTGATCTCTGCTCAGGCCAGTTTAATTAGAAGAGCTCTTTTGATCAGCAAAGCTGCAGCACTACAAAAATAGTGAGTGAAAGATCAAATGATGTAGCCCCCATTCTTGTTTAATACAAACATCATGCAGCTAGATAATGGACTGGGATTTTGATCCTACAACACTCAAAGCAATTGAGGAAAAGTCCAAGAAAAGCACTACTGAAAATCACGTCATTCCCTTTGGGTTGTTATGAGCTTCACCCCTGCACAGCTTAATTTTGAATAGATAGCTTTATTTATATTTGATATCCTTTACAAAATTTTACATCTTGATATTAGAACACTTGCCAAAACAATCAGTTTTAGTTAACACTTTTAATATAAATATCAGGAAACCAAAATCATACTTGATTTTTTAAAGCATTATAATCTTAGTTTTAAATATTTTTAAAGTATTAGCATTAAATTTTTAACAACTTGTCACTGTTTATGTATCTCCTTCCTACCTCTGCAGAACTGTGGTCCATAACACATCCCCAGCCAGCCTCCTTTCTTCTCACTCTCTTTGACAAAAAGATCTGTTTCCCATCTTTATTTCAGCCATATACCATTCCTAGTCTAGCATGTTCAGTCAAGAATTCAAATGGTGCAAATAGCTACTGCTGCTAGGAAATAAGTCTGGCACCAGATGGAGCAATCGCATAACTCTACTTTTAGCTCAGTTGCACTAACATTAAGATTTAACAGACTCAAAGTGCTGTTCTTCAGAATTTTGGTTTAAATCACCTTTCTTCACTTACTCAACCTTTGTTGTATTAATGTGTCAGCTGAAGTCATCTATCCCTGTCAGGTCTGTCATCTGTATCTAATGTGACAGTTTGTTTTAGGTACATACAGACTTCTTAAACAAATTAGGATTCTCCTTTACATTAAAGCTGAGAAGCTGTTTGCTTTTCTTTGCTATCTAACATTGAACTGTCATTGCAATCTCCACTACTGAACAGTTAACATCTTTTGTGAAGTGTACTGAAATATCTTGGCTCGCCAGAAGAATTAAGTTATAGGTTTACAGAAACACATTCTGTTTGAGACATCTGGAATCCACGAGTTCAGGTTATAAAAAGCATAGTTTGCATTCATGCATTACTCCTACAAAAAGTAAAAATCTGAGAGGTAATCTGAATTATAAGAATTCTGAATTACTTTTCTACTTAGATAATTTTCTGTTAATTTGTAAAAATTCCCCCTACAAATATACACCTATGACATTGTCATGCAATAAATTTATCTATGTTCCTAAACTGTGATTTCCTGTTACCAGTAATTTATCGAGAAAATGAAAAATTCTTTTTTGTTATATACAAACTGTGTTGCAGTGCACACAAAACTTTAATGCTGAAGTAAAATTTGAACTTCACAGCTTTTCCTGATACACATGGATTCATTTTATTTAATTTAGAAAATCTATTTGGTAGTCAGGAAGCTCTCTTCACCATCAGTGAACACTTACCTTGCTAAAGTCAACAGTGCTGTTTTCTCTGCTCACATCATTTTTGTTTTCAATACAGGCTGGAGCAGACTGTGGGGAAACAATCTGACCTGCTAAAAAAAGTACCGTTATTACAGAATACTAACAACTACTTCTATAAATAAAGCAACATCTAATGAAATAGCTGTTAAAGAACTACATACATTTCATATCATATGTGTATGAAGCATTTAAACATGGCATTTTAATTAAAGACTTATTTAGAATAACACATTCTCAAAAGACAGAACATTTATCATATGCAGTTAGGAATGGGAGAACATAATTTAGAAAATGCAAAAGATACTCTTGAATACTGGAAGACAAACCTTCTATGCCAATTAAAGTTTACAATTTTTAAGATATTACATTTGAGGAAAGTCCTGCATTCATATAGTTTTTCTAAGTAATTTGAGGAGCTGCCAATTTTGGGCAACACCTGTCTACAAGAACACTCCTCACTGAGTAAAACAGGATTACTAATTTTCATAAATTTACTCATAAGAATGTCCTGATTATAACAACAGCTATAAACCTGAGCATAAAAGTGGGCTGCTATAAAAATAGATGTATTTGAAATTAAAATGATTTAAAAATTCAGTATTAAACAATGTGATTATTGACATGTGTAAAACAAATGTTTCATCAGACACATTTTCAAAGAACTCCAGTGAGGATTTAGTATTTTATAGAAGTTTTTAAAATATCTCAAGATGAGAAGTGTTTAAACATGCCTCAGTCTTGTGTAAGCAAACAGTAAGCCTTGTGACCAACAAAATTTTGCCAACAAAAGCTCAAAAAGAAAAACAGGATTAAGTAACAAGTATATGTCACATAAAGCACATTTTTACTTAATGCGAACAGTGTCCCCATGCACGGCCAGAGGCCACCACGCACACACCGAGGGTGTGGGGCTGGCAGGAGGGCAGCACACAAACCCCACAGGGTGACGAGCCATTCCCTGCTTGCCTTCACTCTTCCACCCTCCCTGGCATGGCAGGAGCTGTGCGCAGCTCTGAGCACCACAACAAAGTACAGGAAAAAGTACCAAATATATGAGCCAACTATCTCTTACTGCCCTAACACATACCCAGGAATAACTACAGAGTCCAACTGGCCCAGAGTCAGCATCTCGTGCCCAGCATATATTTGTTTCCATAGCAAATAAAGTCTCTCATATGACTGAGAAATGATGATGTGAAAACATTGGTTCTGGTGAAAATCAACCTAAACTTGCACAGTAACAAAGACCATATGTTCACGGTACTTGAAGATGAAGACAGTCAGAAAGTCCTAAGCTAGGCACATTGTCTGGGCAATTCAAAGAGCCACAGCGTGTCCCCTTCACACCGCTGTCACACACACTTGCAGTCCAAGCATGTCCTCAGCCACAGCCAGGAAACAGAGCGCTTCACGGGATCCAGTCTGGACAGGACAGGAGACTTGCAAGAGTATCTCAACCATTGCCAAAATACTGAAGTATCCAGCTTCTGTCACAGCTGAGCACTACAGTATCCCCAGTTGAAACACTTGCTCAAGGAAAAGGTTGGTTTTCATGAAAATCAACATCTCATTTTCCACTAGACAAATCTCCCATGACACAAAACAATTTTTAGACTCTTGTGCTGCATCCTGGTAGCATAGCCAGAGAGATTTCACTTTGATTAGGAAGTACAGGAACAGAATGTTTTAAAATGTATTGCTAGAAATCTTATTATTAAATGTATCACTTAAAAATGTAAATATTTCCATTTTCTATTGACAGATCAAAACAAGAATAGAAATTAGGGCTTTTGTTCAGCACTACAGTGAAATAAACAGAGAATGGCAAAAAAACAGACATGACAAGCAAGTTAACCCAACGAAGTAGATAAAAATAAATCAGGATTAGAATTTACATATGACAAGAATAAAGGCTTGATTTCAGAAAGCAACGTATTAATGTAACATAAAGGAATTCACATTAAAAAAGACTTAATTCCTAAATGTCACAGGAGACAACTTTTGCAAATTGGAAGCCAGAAATTACTAAGTATGCGAGATGCTTATAAATGGTCATTCAGTTTGTCTGTTTTAATTAGAATCTAAAGGAAAAACAGAGTTCCATCATTGTTACACCATCACCTTTACACTATGTATCCCCATACACTACTTCGCACTGTAATTTTTCTCTGTATTGTTTATTTAGCAGTCTTAGATTATTTTACAGGAATCATCCTGTAGTATTAGAACTATTAAAAATAACATATACATTTTATTTCTGTACTATAAGGGGAATTACTTGTAATAATTACTCATACTAATATACATATGTTATGAAGATGTTACAGGAAAGCAACAGAAGTAGTAGTTCATTATCTTTCTGTTGCTAATTAGGGATTTACTTCTTTTTTTTTTTTTTCTGGACCCAAAAATTCAAGAAAATGAGAGCAGGGATATCTGCCAGGGAGATAAAAATATTGACCAACAAAGGAGTTGGAGCATGGACCACCTGTTATAAATACTGAAGTTTTAACATAATAATCAGAGGTGTCAAAAGCCTCTAAACAATTAGCATAACAGTCCAAAGGCTAACTTTTAAACATTGTGTCCACTTTTCTTTTAGGAGAAAAATATGTAAAAATATACATAGTAAGAAATAAAAGCCACAACCAGTAAGTATGTGAAGTTTATAAGAATAGCATATGTTCTTTTTCTGTGCCAACAGAAGACCTCAAACTTTGATATACCCATATGCTGGAGTAATCTGAAAGAACACAAGTTTTACCTTGAGGCAGTAAGAGATGTTTAAATAGCTCTGCAACTTAAGACAGCTTTCTGGATCTTGGAACAAGAAGTTTGCTTTTTTACTGTATCGAATAACAATCAAAAATACAAGGTAGGGAAGACAGGTAATTTCACTTTTCACATGACAGTCATGGGGAAAGTTTTTTAAAGAGCATCTTAAACACACTGGAGGAATGCATGTTTCTTATGCACCAATACAGTCAGTAAAATGCAAATCTGGAAGTTGGTCTCTGTGTGGCCCTTCAGCAGAAACATAAGACAAGGAGTACCGGTTTTTTGAGAGATTTTTGCTCCTATATACATTTAGTTTGTTAAATGCCTGTATATTTTGCACTAGATAGTAGGCAGATGCAGTGCTATGGTTGCCCTCTCCATAGGAGCAGGACTATAATGCTACATGGTTATTTTTATATTTGGTAGCTTCCTCTACTTCTGAGCTATGAAGCCATAAAAATTCATAAATTAATTTAATTTTGTGTATAATTTCATGTTGACTTAAAGGAGATGTCTTTGGGGTGAATACTGTTAAGTACATGAGCAATTCCCAATGGGGAAGGACCAAAAGCATACTGATGGCAACACCTAGCAAACACTGGCATCACCACGCTACGCTGGTTTTCCAACATCATTAAAAATACTCAGTTTGCTAAAGCATGTTGGCAACTATACACATGCTTTATCCTCAAGCCACTTTTGATTTCAGCAACTGATTGTTTCCTCTGAATGAAGGATGCAGTTATTGGCACCATGATGGTCCCATGAAGCAATAATCAATTCAAGAGCTATGTGAATGAAGAGGGGAGCTGTCACATCATACCTAAACTAAAACAAACAAACAAAACCAAAACAAAACAAAAAAAGGCATTTCCTTTCTGATTTCCACCAAAACGTAAACAGTCACCACTGCATCAAACTGCCTCTGGGATACAGGTACATTAAATCCAAGTTTTCTCCAAATTTTACCTTTATGATATGGGAGCCTTCAAAGCATTATGAGCAAAAGAAAAAAAAAAAAAATCAAAAAACAAAACACAACCACCACCAAACAAACAAAAACTAACAGCAAACAAAAACTAACACCAAACCCTAGCCAGGCTTTAAACATCTGGTCTGAGAAAAAACACTTGCGATGGTTTATTACTCTTTGAGTTGGCAATATGGGGTTTAGGCTGGTAGGAATGGTGAAGGCATAAACCATCAACTGCCTATTAAGAGGGAATAAGAGCAGCAACAGCCTTGCCATTTATTCAGCTCTTCCATACCCTGTCTTTGACAGTTCCGTTTCAGCGCTCTCAAGCAAAATGTTTATTTGCACATTGTATGGGGTAAATACAGCATTTTATTTTTTAAGAGTGCAATGTATTACTTTGAGTCTTTATAAATCTAAAGTTTAAAAGCCTTGATTTATCCTGCAGTCCATCTACATTAAGCATCTGAAGAGCTACATTCTTGGAGAATTCATCACAAAGCCATTCAGATTTTTTAAAGTATCAGTCAAACAAATGCACAATGTGTTGTCATTGAAATATCCAGCCTACATACAAAGGAACTTACACCTAAGAGATAAAACCATACTAAAATGGGTGTTAAGGCTTATCTATGTATTAAAACACCGGTATCAGCACACTTTTAAAAATCTTATTTTAAATTGTTGTACATAAAAAAATAGTGGTTTTTTTCAGATAATGTGAAATTGCCAGAGCTTTGAATAGAGCAAGAATTCACACAAAAAATATTATGTCATGCAAAGCCAAGCCACTTAAAAATAAAAATCCATCAAAATAAGGTCCGTATTTGTTACACTAATAGAAGTTTGCATTTGAAGATAGAGCTCAGCATTTTGAGACTATTAGTCCTGCCAAATTAAAAAAAAAATTAATCCCAGTAAATTAATGTCACATGCAACATACTCGTACTCTGTAAAATTTAACGCTCAAGACCTTTAACTATGTGTATGGTACTTATTAATCAAAAATCCAAGAGGTCTCCAGAATGCCAATGACAAAAACCAAGAACAATGTATTCAGGTACAAATCACAGTTAATGGAAACAAATGGATGCAACTGACACATCAAACGAAATTCAATCAGAAAAGAATTTGCTTATATTTCTAGACCATATAGATTTCTTCTCATTCAGAAAAAAAAAAAATCTGATTTGCAAGCCAGCTATAACAATCTTCAGACTTTTCACTGCAACTAATCACCAATTTTCCAAATCTAAATGGACACACTGTCCAGATCAAAAATCAAGGACTGAAAAACAGTAAGTTCTCCTAAGTATATGG